CACTGGGATAGACAAGGGAGTATGGCTGTGCTCCAATACAACTATTTACAGGAATGGGCATGGTTTTCCCAGCCCTGTTCTGCCATATTATTTTCAAAGTTTTTTTAAGTCAAATACACATAGATTTGGAATCTGATCATACTAAAAAGCTTCTGCACTGCCAAGAACACAGTAAGTAAAGCAAGCAGACTGCCCTCAGAATGGGAGAGGATATTTGCAGGTTACATTTCTGACAAAGGTCTGATAACCAGAATCCACAGAGAACTCAAACTTATTAATAAGAAAAGAACAAATGATCTCATTTCACTATTGGGCAAGAGACATGAACAGAAGCTTCTGTAAAGAAGAGAGACACATGGTATACAGATACATGAAAAAAATGCTCATTTTTTGTTTGTTTGTTTGTTTTTTAATGAGATCCTGTTATGTTGCCCAGGCTAGAGTACAGTAGCTATTCATAGGCATGGTCATGTCATAGAACTCATGGGCTCAAGTGATCTTCCCTCCTTAGCATCCCAGAGTAGCTGGGACTACAGGCTCATGCCACCATGCCCAGCCTGTTCTGACATAAGGGTACCAAAGTTTGATGGTAAAGTCATTTGATTAAACCACCACTATACTAATTTGAAAGGAAATTATTCAAACAAGTGATTCTCTATAGGTGATTTTTGCTTCAGAGTACATTCAACAGTGTCTGGAGACATCTCCAGTGATCATGACTAGAGGATCTTATAAGCAGGTAATGGGTAGAGGCCAGCCCCAAATGCTAAGAGGGCTTAAGTTGAAAAATACTACTCTGGGCTCAATCTGTAATCCTAGCACTCTGGGAGGCTGAGGCAGGTGGATTGCTTGGGCTCAGGATTCCAAACCAGTCAGTCTGACCCAAAGGTAAGAGTAAGATCCCCCCCAAAAAAATCTCTACTAAAAATAGAAAAACTAGCCATACATTGTGGTGGGCACATTTAGCCCTAGCTACTCAGGAGGCTGAAGCAGGAGGATGGCTTTCACCCAGGAGTTTGAGGCTACTGTGAGCTAAGCTTATGCCATTGTACTCTAGCATGGACAACACACTAAGATGGCCTTAAAGAAAAAAGAAAAACCCTACTCTAGACCCAGACTGTGCACACGGTCAGCTCGAATTAGTCATTCCCACACATAGTTATCATTACTTTATTCTGTGAAATAATTGGGTCAGTCTTGTCTATGGATCTCAAATTCCCACATGAAATAAAACCATGTTCTCCATGAAGTAACTGGAGACTATACACAACAGAAGAAAGTGGTCTGGAGAAAAAGTTATAATTTGAGGGGCTGGGGAAGTCAAAGGTTTGCCTATCACTTATCGCACTCCAACATCTGATGATTTTTCTACAAACCCATTTCTCTTTTTTCTAATTTTCCTTTCTCTTCCAGGTATTTTTTAAATGTTCCGGATATCCATGTGTACTCTGAAAATGAGAAAAATGAGGCTTATTAGAGCAGTATTCCTACAATACACACTAGGAAGACATCCAAGAGGGTTCAGTGTCTCAAGGTCAGCTTTGGGGTCTCAGTCTGTTTTTGCTGCTCTAACAATGAGACTAGGTGGTTTTTAAAGGAAAAGAACTTTTCTCACTGTTCCATAAACTGGAAAGTCTAAAATCAAAGCACCAGATTTGGTGTCTGGTGAGGGCTGCTCTCTGCTTCCAAGATGGCGCCTGTTGCTGTGTCTCAACATCACAGACAGGCAGAAGTATGTTCACTTCCACCTCTTTTATAAGGTAGCTGATCACACTCACAAGGGCTCCACCCTGAAGGCTCTACCTCACAATACTATCGCATTGGTGATTAAGTTTCAACACCTGAATTTGGGAGAAGACACATTCAGATCATTGCATCCCAACACTTAAGTCCCCACTGCATTAGTATTGTAGTGGTTTAAGTCCTGAAATTAGCCACTATTGCAGGTCACGTGGTACATCTCTTAGCATTATGAAGGAATTCACACACAATTCAGAACACACACACTTACACCTGAGACAAAGCCAGCTTTGTGGTTTATCATTCACATTTATTAGATGATACTTCTATAAACTGGTAAAAAAAAAATAATAATAATAATAATCCAGGAAGGGTTAACAGACAGAGAAGAGCATATTTCATGATCACTTTTTGATGTATGAGAATTGAACTCATGGCTGGGTGTAGTGGCTCATACCTGTAATCCTAGCACTCTGGGAGGCCAAGGTGGGAGGATCATTTGAGCTCAGGAGTTTGAGACCTGAACAAAAGGCGTGAACAAAAGCAAGACCCCTTCTCTACTAAAAATAGATTAGCCGGGCATTGTCTCAGGCACTTATATAGTCCCAGCTACTCAGGAGGCTGAGGCAGGAGGATTGAACCTAGCCAGGAGTTTGATGTTGCTGTGAGCTAAGACACCACAGCACTCTATCCAAGGGAGCCATGGAGTGACTCTTGTCTAAAAAGAAAAGTTTAACTTACTATGAGAAGATATGGTAGGAGGAGATTAAGATTCTGAGATTTAAGAGACAAATCTGGCTGAAAGACAACCACCCACTCTGGGAGGCATGAGTACAGTTATAAATTTAGGCCAGTGTGGTGGTTTGCCCTTGTAATCCCACCACTCTGCTAAGATGGAGGCGGGAGGATTGCATGAGCTCAGGAATTCAAGACCAGCATGAGCAAAAGCAACACTCCATCTCTACTAAAAATAGAAAAATTAGCTGGACACGGTGGGTGCCCAGATACTCAGGAGGCTGGGGCAGGAGAATCGCTTGAGGCCAGGAGTTTGAAGTTGCCTAGTGTGAGCTGGGCTGACTATGAAACTCCAGCCCTGGTAACAGACACCATCTCCAAAACAAAAAAAATTAATAAGAGATATGAAGCAGGACAAATAGAACATGGAGACTGCCAGACCACTAGGATCTAGAACATTTTGACAAAGACACTAGTTCTATAGAAAAGATTGCAATAACATAATGGATAGAAGCCAGAAATACGTTAAAAGGGGCCAATTGTGAATCAATGGTAGCTTCTCAGGTGCAGGTGAGAAATAGCAACACGCAGAGTCCACAGACCAGGCTGGTCCTCACCACCTGCCCACATAGGTACATAGAAAGTATTCAGAGGACAGAATATTAGGAGTCACAATAATATTCCTGATGTCTCAAAAAAAAAAAAAAAAAAAAAAGCCTAAGTGCTCTTCCTCGTTACAACTGACTGCCATACACTGGGTTCGACTCACCTGGGATCTGACCCTTCGCCATCTTCGACA